TGTTATACCCACTAAACATAACATATGTTAATGTAACGTTATACCCACTCAACATAACATATGTCAATGTAACGTTATACACACTCAACATAACATACGTTAACGTGACATTATACGCACTCAACATAACATAGGTCAATGTAACATTATACCCGCTCAACATAACATACATCAATGTAACGTTATACCCGTGACATTATACCCACTCAACGTAACATATGTCAATGGAACGTTATACCCACTAAACATAACATATGTAAATGTCACGTTATACCCACTCAGCATAACATATGTCAATGTAACATTATAGCCACTCAACATAACATATGTCAATGTAATGTTTTACCCACTCAATATAAATGATGTCAGTGTGACATTATTCTCACTTAATATTAAGTCTGGCTATTTACAATGAATTTTGTGACATTATATATTGATAGACTACTGGAGACGGAGGCTGGGGAGAGGATGTAGATTGGGATGATAGTCAGTTCTAACAATCGTGGTAGTCAATGGTATCTCCTCCACAAGGATCCTAATGGTCAGTGTTGTTGCCATGCAAATACTTCAGTCACTGGTGTCAATACGAGGATCATAATGGTCGGTGGTCACTGGTGTCACCTCAAGGATCGTAATGGTCAGTGGTGTCACCTCGAGGATCCTTATGGTCAATGGTATCACCGTGAGGCTGGGGAGAGGATGTAGGAATGATGGTCATTTCTAACACTCCTGGCATAAAATCATGTCGCTCTGACAGGCAAGCATTTTGTGAGAAAAAATGAAGTCAAAATGTTGGGTAATACTTATTGCAATATAAATTTAATATTTGTTTTATTTTATTTCCGTTTGTAGAGAAATCATTGAAACGCTCATAATTTCATAGTATGGAAAAAATACTAAAGGCCCATGCATGGATGAGGGCATTAAACTTTATTCCTCATTTTCAAATACTGAAATAGTGAAGGCTGCAATTTTTTGTAAACTTCATAAAAGTCTGCATCATAGGAATATTTGATGTGTGCTGCTGTATATACAGGTTTATTTACTACTGAGTTTCCGTCTATACAATCATTTCTGAAACTGATCTCTTTTTATCATTATATATCATAAATACAAAATCATTCCCTATCTGGATTCACAATTGGGTCCATCAGACCAGCCAATATCTACTTGCACAGGTTAGTTTTCTAGGGTCCATTGGCTATGATGTAAAGTTAAACTGTAGCACTAACTACGTCATGCATGCCTGATTGAAAGAGAATACCTATGTGGTCAGAGAATGCCTGTGTGGGTGAGAAAATACCACTGTGTGATTAAGAGAATGCCTGTGAGGTTGAGAGAATGTCTATGGTTGAGAGAATGCCTGTGAGGTTGAGAGAATGTCTGTATGGTTGAGAGAATGCCTGTGAGGTTGAGAGAATGTCTGTATGGTTGAGAGAATGCCTGTTTGGTTGAGAGAATGTCTGTATGGTTAAGAGAATGCCTGTGAGGTTGAGAGAATGTCTGTATGGTTGATAGAGTGCCTGTGAGGTTGAGAGAATGTCTGTATGGTTGAGAGAATGCCTGTGAGGTTGAGAGAATGTCTGTATGGTTGAGAGAATTCCTGTGAGGTTGAGAGAATGCCTGTTTGGTTGAGAGAATGCCTGTGAGGTTGAGAGAATGTCTGTATGGTTGAGAGAATGCCTGTATGGTTGAGAGAATACCTGTATGGTTGAGAGAATGCATGTATGGCTGAGAGAATACATGTATGGTTAAGAGAATACCTGTATGGCTGAGAGAATGCCTGTATGGTTGAGAGAATGTCTGTATGGTTGAGAGAATACCTGTTTGGTTGAGAGAATACCTGTATGGTTGAGAGAATGTCTGTGTAATTGAGAGAATGCCTGTGTGGTTGAGAGAATACCTGTATGGTTGAGAGAATACCTGTATGGTTGAGAGAATGCCTGTGTGATTGAGAGAATACCTGTGTGATTGAGAGAACACTTGCATAATTGTTGAGTGAAGGAATCAGAGAACACCTGTGTAATTGAAAGTAAGGAAATCAAGGAACTGAGCAGACTGTCATCTCTTAGCTGTCCTAAATGCAGTTGTACATTGTAGCAAATTATACTGATGTAAATAACGTGGGTTTTTTTAATACTTAATTTCTTCATTTGATGCAAGATCACCATTTCTGCAGTATATAGTGAATTTGTGGTGCTGATAGTGTGTGCTATCTGATCTTATAAAAGGTCTGTGCATTTAAATTGTGAGGGACTGGAAACAGGTATTTATTGTGAAACAGTGATGTGAATAGTCTGTCTATATACTCCAATATACTGGTGATGTATAAAACCAAGCTGTGAACTCGTGTAAAAACAGTGATGGTGGTGCTTTGTTTTTATTTCTTAACATTAATAAGAAGACTGGAAGTTTGCCATCGAGTATGCAATGTTGAAGATTATACGTAAACGGAGTAGCTATGTTTCTTTAAGAGAATGGATGCCATAATGTAGTTTCTGAAGGACTTGATAGTTTTTACTTAATTTTGTATGCTATTTTGCTTATGTGTATGTAGATTAAACAAATAAGTTAATGTCTTTTTAGGAAGTATGAATATAAAGTTCAAATTTAAATAGTGTTTATTATGATACAGTTGTGAACAAAATGGTAAATTGTTGGCATATTTGTGTGTTACATGAATGTCGTGTAGCTGTATTGGGTATACTTAATGTCAGTATATATACCACTACCATGAATGTCGTGTAGCTGTATTAGGTATACTTAATGTCAGTATATATACCACTACCATGAATGTTGTGTAGCTGTATTGGGTATACTTAATGTCAGTATATATACCACTACCATGAATGTCGTGTAGCTGTATTGGGTATACTTAATGTCAGTATATA